CATGAACAATTGTTAGTACAACCAAAATTAGGGAAATTGTTTACTTCTTTGACTCAATGTAAGAAAAGAGGAGTGGTTTTATATATCAAAGAGGCCACCCCAGCAAAATTGATTTACGCTGATGAAGATGGGAGAATATTAATGGTGGAAATAACGGACAACAATAGAAAGATACTTTTGACTGCAATTTATGCTCCGAATGATAAACAGGAAGAATTCTATAAAAAATTACATATGAAAATGGCCGGACTGGACTATGCTAATATAATTATGATGGGAGATTTTAATGGAATCATGGACAATAAACTGGACTATATCGCAACAACAGCAAAGTACAATAGAAAAATTCTTCCTAAATCCTTTTTTAAAATGACAGATGAACTAATTTTAAAAGATATATGGAGAGAAAGAAATGCTAAACTTAAGCAATATACTTTCTATTCAAATAGACACTTATCATGGTCCAGATTAGATATGATTTGGATTTCAACAGAATTAATATCTAGCGTTCAAGAAGTAAACATTGAAACAAGTACTTGGGCTGATCATAATCCATTGACAATTAAATGGAAGGGACAAAAAAAAAGATCGAGATGGATGTTAAATAATACTATTCTAAAGGAGAAAGAATTTATACAATGGATGGAGAAAGAACTGGCCTTTTTTTTTTTAAAGAAAATAGAAAAGAAGATACTTCAATACAGAATGTTTGGGATACAGTGAAGGCATATGCTAGAGGTTTGATAATAGACTACACAAGAAAAAAGAATATTAGGAAAAGGCAAGCCATTAAAGCCTTGGAGGATGAGTATAAAAGACTTGAAAAAGAATTACAGAAAATGCCATAGAAAAAAGACATTAAACTGAAACTGGACATAACTAAACATAAAATGGACTTAATAGAGAAAGAAGAACTGGCACAGAAAATTAGGAATGCTAAACAGAATTATTTTGAAAATGCAAATAAGCCAGGTAGATGGCTAGCATATAAGCTGAGAAAGGAGAAAGAGTCGAGGAAAATATTGCAGCTAATAGATGACCAAGGTCAAATTTGTTATGGCAGCAAAGAGAAAAAAGAAATTATTCGAGATTTTTATGGACATTTATATAAGAAAGAAGATATTGATGAGGAGAAAGTTAAACAGTACTTGCAGAATGCAAATTTACCTAAGATATCCAAAGAGACTGAAGAAATTTTAGAAAGTAATATAACAATGATGGAATTAAGTCAAGCACTCAAGAAACAAAATAATGGGAAAGCACCAGGTCCAGATGGGTTCCCTGCAGAATATTATAAAACATTTCAAGAGTCACTGAGTATTCCACTGTTAGAAGTTATGAATGAAGCTATGTCAAAGAAGATGATACCTAAAACATGGTCAGAGGCCTATGTTACACTTATTCCAAAAGAGGAGGCTGATCCACTCCAAATTAAGAATTATAGACTGATTTCTTTATTAAATGCAGACTATAAAATCTTTGCTTCAATATTAGCAGAAAGACTTAAAAAATATTTGAATAATTTTATTCATCCAGACCAAAATGGATTTTTGCCAAAGAGGCAAATTAGAGATAATATGAGAGTAATTCTGGACACTTTGGAATATTATGAGGCGCATCCTGAAAAGCAAATGGCTCTGATATTCTTAGACGCCCAAAAGGCATTTGACAATGTGAATTGGAGATTTATGTTACTTTTATTGGAACAGATGGGTTTTGCTAGAAGATTTATTCAGGCAATAGAAGCAATTTACCATGAACAAACAGCTAAGGTAATGATGGAGGGAGAATTTACAGACTATTAATATAAGAAAAGGCACAAGACAAGGATGTCCCCTTTCTCCTTTGTTATTTGTATTGACCCTGGAAGTGTTGAATAGAAACATTAGAGAAGACAAAACTATAAAAGGAATGAAAATTAAAAAGGAAGAATTTAAATTACAAGCCTTCACGGATGACTTAGTTTTTATTTTGGAAGACCCTGTAGAAACGGCTGCGAAGCTATTGGAAAAGATAGAGACATATGGTGAAGTGGCTGGTTTGAAAATAAATAAAGATAAAACAAAGATTTTGTCAAAGAATATGCTATTAAGACAAAGAGAAGAATTGGCAGATTTGTTGAAAATTCAAGTTACGAATAAGGTTAAGTATTTGGGGATACATTTGACATCAAGATGTAGTACATTAAAAGAGAACAATTATATTAAACTTAAACAACAGATAGCTTTAGACTTGAAGAAATGGGAAAATCTACAACTGTCATTAATAGGGAGGATTTCAACAATTAAGATGAATATTTTACCCAGAATCTTATTTTTGTTTCAAACAATACCAATTAGGCTCGGGAAAGACTATTTTGAAGATTTAAATAAAATTGTGTTGAAATATATATGGCAAGGTAAGAAAGCGAGGATAAAGCTAAAACTCTTGCAAGATGCTAGAACTAGAGGAGGTTTTGGCCTGCCTAATTGGGAGCTGTACTACCAAGCTGCAAATTTGATGTGGGTTAAGGAATGGATAACATTAAGGAAGACTAGATTGTTGACACTAGAAGGTCATGATCTGTTGTTGGGTTGGCATGCTTTTCTATGGTACAAGGGAACTAAGACACAGGGCTATTTTCGAAGACATTGTATACGGGAGTCTTTGTGGTTAAATTGGGAGAAGATAAAAAACCAATATTATTTGAAAATTCCAGTTTGGTTATCGACGATAGAAGCATTTTCTTATCCTATAATTTACAAGAAGGAACAAACAGTTAGATATGGGGAATTATTAGATGAAAAGGGTGAACTTAAATCAATACAAAATCTAGAGGAACAAGGTATAAAGATGAATTGGTTTTCATATGTGCAAATACACTCAAGGTATGATGAGGATTCCAAAACAGAGGGATTTTATGATAAACAGACTGATTTAGATAAGATTTTGAAGGGTACTGATGAAAAGGTGATTAAAAAATTATATGGTTATTTATTGGAAATTAAGCTAGAGGAAGAACAAGTTAAAGAAACTATGATTGCTTGGGGGAGGAATTTTGGATATGGGATTGATTTAGAGAAATGGCAGAAATTATGGTTGCAAAATTATAAAATGACAATGTCTACAGCTTACAAAGAAAACTTGTATAAGATGTTTTACAGGTGGCATTTTCCTCCGACAAGGATAGCAAGAATGTTTAAGAATAAACCTGAAAAATGTTGGAAATGTCATCAGATACCTGGCTCATATTACCATATGTGGTGGACTTGTGAGGACGCTAGAAAATACTGGACTAAAATCCACATGTGGCTGGAAAAAATGACAAAGAAACATAGATTTGAAACCGGAGTTCTTTTTATTGGGAATTCTACCAGATGTATATAGTAAAGATCTGAAATATTTGATTGTAAATGTATTAACTGCGGCTAGAATTGTATTTGCTAAAAACTGGAAAAATGAGAAAATTCCATCGCAGGAAGAAATTATTAAGAAAATATTGGAATGTGCTGAGATGAGTAGATTGACATTTGAAATTAGAGAGCAAGAAGACAAACAATTTTATAAAATTTGGGACCTTTTCTATCAATGGTTAGATGATGAAATATGATAATAGAATACCTAGAATTTTAGATAATAAGGAATATACTTGTTTTTTCTTTTTCTTTTGTTATTAGATACTATATCTATAAAGTATTTTCTTTTTAGGATAGAATTGGTATGATTATATGATTGGTTATAGAATAAATTACTTAAATTATAGTTATCTCATAAAGTATGAATGAATAAAAGTATAGTCAAATGATTTTTTTTAATAATGATATGAATATATATAAGTTAGGATTGAAAATAAGAGCTATTATGTAATATAATCGTAATTGAGACTACGAAATGGATGCACAAAACTGATGAACCAACCGACACACTGTTTGTATATAAGTATGGAAGAGAGCTGATGCTTTTATGTTTTGTCTGTTTTTGTTTGTTTGTTAAAAAAACCAATAAAACTGTTTTCAAAAAAAAAAGAATTAACTAAGATAGGTTTTGTGGCTGGCATGGCTGATCTGTGTTTGTTCAAAAGAGAAAGTAATGATGTAATTTCATTATTGTTATTATTTACTGATGACATAGCATTAATCACCAAAACTGAACAAGAAGCTACTAAAATAATCTCACTTTTAGAGAGGAAATTTAAGATAAAACAGTTAGGAGAAATCAAATAATATCTTCGTTTAAAGATAGATAGAACTAGGGGAGGATACAAGATCTCACAGGCAGATAAAATTAACCAATTACTAAAAAGTTTTAAAATGGAACTTTGTAAGCTGGCTAAAACACCAATGAGCCAGGAGTTTAGCCATAGTGATGTTCAAAGTCCTATTTTTGATAAGAACATTTATCAGTCTTTGATTGGTAGTTTATCTTATCTCAGTAATTGGTTGAGACCAGATATTGCATACAGTGTTAATCAATTAGTGAGATTTTAACACTGAGCCAACTGAAAGGCACTGGCACTCTGCTAAACGTGTGTTAAGCTATCTGAAACAAACAATGCACTATGCATTGTATTTGGAGCCTAAAGATGAACTGAGTTTAACTGCATATGCTGATGCAAGTTTTGCTACAGACATAAATACACAAAAATCTACATCGGGTACTGTAGTATTTTTGGGAAAGGCATTGATTGGATGGGGGTCTATTAGACAGAAACATCTAAGTTTGTCAACAATGGAGGCTGAATGCTCATGCTTATCTTTACTATGTACAGATTTAGTTTTGTATAAGCAATTACTAATTGACATCAGAATTGATGTAACAGATTCTATTGTTGTTTATGAAGATAACCAATCAGCAATACAGATGGCTTCAAATATTGCTGTTAAAACAAGAACAAAACACACAGATTTAAGATATTTAAATGTGAGAGAATGGGAAAATCCAACAGTCCCCAAGCCCATTTCTAATCCAGAGCGCCGTGATAAAACCAACCAGCCAATGGAAACTTAATGTGTTTCTCTCACCTCAACCAGTTTTTGGATGATGTAACTCCAGCGGATGTATAGATCTCTATAAGGAAAGAAGTAGGGATAGGGTTGAGATATGATGAGAGCAGTTCTCTTTTCTTGGGAAATACAATGGTTACAACATTGTTCGGGGGGGGGGGGCATGGGTCGTAGCTCCTGAAACCCATTTTTCCTATTATTTTTCTCATAGAGCTGAGAAACCAGGGAGCCCCAAAAGACAAGGACGATATGCAAGGAGTTACCTTGGATAGCTCTTTCTGTAGATCAAAGTAGGGCAGAAGAGAAAATATAAGTAGGTTGAGAGTTCAGGAGGGCTTATCTTCCCTGGAATGGGGGAAAAAAAAGCAAAGGAACGGTTGAAGGTACATAGGGTCAAATCGAGAAACATCGGTTTGTATGCTGAAGAAATAGTTGCCCTGGACACACATGATGCTCAAGTGTAGGCATCTTCTCTCTGCATACCATTTCAGCAGGAAAAACACAGAGCTTCATGTGTATGTGATGATAGCAGTAGCAACAGTACTTAGACTTATATACCACTTCATAATGCTTTACAGCCCCCTCTAAACTGTTTACAGAGTCAGCATATTGTCCCCAACAATCTGGGTCCTCATTTTACCGACCTCAGCAGGATGGAAAGCTGAGTCAATCTTGAGCCAGTGAGAAGCGAACTTCTAACATTTGGCACAATTAACCTGCAATACTGTGTTCTAACCACTGTGCCACCACAGCTCTTCTTCTTATATTTCTTAGGTACAAAAAGTAGTTTATTATGATACTTCTTATGTACAAAAAGTAGTTAAGGTGTGATACAGGATGCAGAATTCAGGGTTTTGAAAATCTATCTCCATTTTTTTTTTAATTTTGTCAAGCAATTATAAGATAACAGGTGTAAGTATAAACATAGTTATGGATACATGAAATGGATACATATAAGAAAAATAAAAAAGAAACAGCAGGACAGGGACGGTAGGCACGTTGGTGTACTTATGCACGCCCCCTACAGACCTCTTAGGAAAGGGGTGAGGTCAATAGTTGACAGTCTAAGGTTAAAGTTTTGGGGGTTTGGGGAAGAAACCACAGAGTCAGGTAGAGTATTTTATATGGTATATAAAAGCAACAAACAAGGAAGTGTTCACAGGGAGATGTATAGGACAAAATGCAATCAATAAAATTTTGCACTGTATATCAGATTTTTTTAAAAAAAATTGAGCTGCTTATAAAAGACAAATAAACAAATAAATAAATAAATAAATCACCTATGTTCTGCACCTCTTCATACAAAGTAAAGTCTGGCAAATAGGAGTGATTTGGTGAATGATTTGGTGAAATGTATTTGACCCAGGCAAGAGGTTTCTTTTGCTTTGCATCCATATCCCTTTTCTTAGTTTTCTGCCTTGTGCATAGAGGTGGATTTGACGCTGTACAGATGCAGATAGATAACTCAACAAGATGTCCATAATAAATTACATTTATTGGTTTCTTCAGGTATCCTTATAACTCACGTTTGTGAAGAAGTTCTTCTTTAATGACCAATCCTTTGTATATCTGCCTTGTAGTAAAAGATAGTTATCTCCTAACCCATCTCATAGCGATAGAAAGAAGCTGCCATGAGTTAAAGAGTTCAGGCAAAAGTGAGGGAAACTCCCCCAACCCATCGAGGGTCAAATTAGTGACCAATCGGGATTAGAGATGTGCCCATGTGACATGAAGTACATTTCCCAGGATACCTTTTACTACATTTACCATGATGCATTCCCTTAAGGGGACAGCTCATAATTCCTAAGTAACTATCCAATTCCCATAGACTGCCTGGGACAGCACACTCCCCGCCTGGAATTGTAAATTCCACTATTAAAGGAAGAGAAAAAAATTAACTATAAACTAAGATAAGCAGTAGACAGTAATACTAACTGAATAGCAGATAACTATATAACTAAGATAAACAGTTAGCTATATAACTAAGAAAAAACAGTAAACATTAATAAAGCATCAAACAAAGCAAAGCATGCAAAGCTTGAGGTGCAATCTTCAAGTTCGGTCTCTCGGTGCAAGTGTGCTGGTCACCTCTTGAGGCCTTTTAGGGTGTACAGGTACTCTTGGCAGCAAAGGTGAAAGTCTGCTGGTTGCTTCCGGTGGCCTTTTAGGGTTGACTGGTACTCTTGGTACCAATCGTGAAAGTCTGGTGGTTGCTTCTGGCAGCCTTTTAGGGTTGGAACAGTACACTTCCACGGTGTCAAAGGGCACCGGGAAGGTGTTGGAAAGGGTGTTGCATAGGCATATGTCCATGTAGAGCGACTTAGTTGATGTCTGGTGGTTGCTGATGGCCGTTTAGGGTGTCCTAGCAAAAGGGTACTGATTGCTGGTGGCCTTTTAGGCTGGAATCGCATTCTTGTTTTCGATGGTGTTAAAGGGCGTCAGAAGGCAGTTGGAATGGATGGTGCTAAGGCATTTGCCTGGATTGGAGCCTGCATCCGATCGTCACTGACAATTCCTATGATCCCCCATCCTAGTGGAGATTTGATGGCCACTGTGCTGTCTACAGGGCCGCCAACTGACTTGGAGAAGAGAAAGGCGCACGGGGCATTATTTCCCAGGAGGAGTAGGATCTCAGCCTCCAGATCTAGAGTGGGAAAGTGATGAGCCAGGTGCTGTAGGTGAGGCATGCTACTTATGACCTCAGGTGTTGCGATCTGACTGCGGTCGTTCGGTATCCCATCGCATTCAAATACGGGCTGTAGTGGGAACCAGGAACTTCCATCCAATGACTCTATGCAGAGTCCAGTAGCTCTCCTCCCCACCGTGCTTCTTGATCCATGACACGTTGATACAGTGAAGGGAAGTTCATCTTGTTGCACCTCAAAGAGGTTGACGAATGCGGGGTCTGGCCAGGGTGCAGGTGCTTTGAGTGTCTATCCGCACGTACATTTTCATGGCATCTTCAGGGCATCCTTCAGGGTACACTTTGGCTAAACATATGGGAAGACACGAACGAGGGCACGGTGAGTTGGCATACAGTGCTGTGCAGTTGACACTCATCCTCAGTTTTGGTTGTGGTTTGGCAGTCTGCCGAGGAGCCCTGTCTGCTTCTGTGTTACGTTGAGGCTCCTTGTCTGAAGGAGGGTTACAAGATATCTGCAATGGTGGCTCGGCGTCTGGATGCAGCACGGTCGGGTGTTGGACACTATTGCATAAGTCGCATTGCACCTTTGCTGTGCAGTACTTGGACAGATGTTTGGATTCACAACACTTGTAGCAATATTGGTACTCCCTTAGTAACTCTTTTCATTAGATCAGTGATTTCGCTGCAAATCCAGTGCAGCTGTTCAGTGAGTGATGAGTGTTGTGCATAGGACAAAACTGTATTATCCTTTCAGATATCTAAATTGTGCTGTATCAGATGAGTTCTCTCCCCAACTGTATGTGGATGAGGAGTTGATCTTGGTTTGATGGACAACCATGAAGGGTCTTTCCTGGTAGTGTGCATAGGGCCTGAGGGTGATATATGGTTGCTGTTGTATCTTCTGTCATAAGGAGGACTAACAGCTCTGAGTCCATGGGCTCGGTGTGTGTTGCACATCGTTGCCTGTTGGGACACAAATTCTTCAAGAAGTGTGAAGGGTATAAAGCGGTGGCGACACTTGGCTATGAAGGTGTCAGTAAACTGGAGCCACTTTTCAATTAGCACCTGCGGAAGTTTTCGAACAATTTTGTTCTGCGTGTCGACGTGATTGAGACAGGTAAGTGCCGGTAAGTTGGGATCCCGTTGTGCCGTTCTCAGCTGGAGAAGTATGTTAGTGAGGTCTATGATTCGACGAGGCTTGTCAATAGGAATTTTAGGAAAACTGTTGAGGCTATCCAAGAGTGTTGCTTCTATGTCCTCGGGAGCACCGTACAGTTCATCAAGCCTTTTCCATGATAACCGTAGGGCAGTAGCTGGGTCATCTAAGTGGGATGCCAAAACTGCCCTAGGTATGTTGGCAGACTGTGACCCTAGCCATGCTATCAAGTGTCCGATTATTTCAGCAGGATTCAGGTGTGCCGCCTGAACGGGGCACAGGAAAAGTTTCTTTCATACTAGATACTCGCCGCCTGGCTTATCAGAGAATCTGCGAACTGGGCTTTGGCCTGTTGAGCCGCTATTTCAGCCTGTTGAGCCACTATTGCTGCCTTCTGCCATGTTACCTCCTCTGTGGCGCATAGCTCTACGTCTGCTACTGCAGCTTCTACTTCAGCTTCTGCAGCCTACTCGGTGTAACTTGCTGATTTGGAGGTCTTAGATGCACCGCTACGATGGGAGGATGCTCTGGAAGGATGGTGAGAGCTGGCAGCAGAGAATTGGCATGAGACACTGGAACCTGCCCGCGATCTAGCTGATTTGGGGTGGAGGGATGAGGCTTTCTTAGAATGGTGGGAAGAAGCTGCTCGTGATTGAAGACCTATGTCGGATGTGGACTTCTCCCTTGCCCCTTCTCCTTTTGAAGCACATTGAAGATCACAGTCTGGAGGGAGTTTCTGCCTTCCTGAATGCTGTCTTTGCATTCTTTGTTCTCCTCCTCGAAGCAATGAATGTGTTTCTGGAACTCTGGGTCTTCCAGGTTTGACTGTATGTATTTAAGCTTATTTTCACTGTCTCTCCACCCTGCGAGGTGCTCCTCTAACTCCTTCTGCATGAAGAAGAGGCTCTCGAGGGGCAACTTGCTTTTGTGTGTGTCACAAATCTTGAACAGCTCCATCCATGCATCTGCATGATGTAGATACTGCCTTTCCCAATCCTCTCTGAAGCGTGTCACCATGGGTGAGGTAAGCTTCCTATGCCGTCTGAGGTCATAGGCCTTCTGAGGTATCGCGGCTTCTCCAGAGGGTTGGACATCTAAAACTGGATTTTGGGAATCAGGCTCCATGTTTACAACAAGGGTGGGTGGAGGAATCGGGTCTTCTGGTACATCAGAGACATCTATCATGGCTGAGGAAGTTGCCATGCTTCAAATTGTCAAAGGGAGAATTTTGGGAAATTTAGTGAATTTCCGTGCAATTCCCTTTTGCTGCTGGATTTAATACTTGAGCACATAGGTGGCATTGCAGAGTCTGGGCGATGCTAGCACATCACATAATATGGCTGCTTCTAGGGTGCGTTGTGAGCTTGCAACACAAGGGGGCACTAGAGGTTGCGTCACAAAGTCTGAAGACCAGAGGGCTGAATGGTAGAGTCTAGCAGTTGAATAGCAATTGAAAATGCTGGAAGGAAAGGTGAATATGATGCTGCATCGTGGTTGCTTTAGATTGCTACTAATTTGTTAAAGGAAAAATCCTTTAATAGCAAAAGGATAGCAAAAGACAAATGCTGACTGTTTAAATCATTGCTAGATTAGGTGTGTCTCTTCAGGGGGAAGGAATGTGCCCATTGCTGTGGAGATGGCTCTGGCTGGAGGAATTTTCATAACTGTGTCCTCTTTATTCCTTTGCCAGAGGAGCAGAGGAAGATCAGTTTTGTTTTACCGACAAACATACAGGCATGATTTCTCAGAGTCTCTCACTGCATTTGTAGAAGTTTAAAGACAGAGGTTTGGTTTTCCTTTGAGAGCTGGGAAATATCTGACTCTCCTTGTTATGCAAATGGAGTCTTTGAGATAGCAGGAAGACAAATTGAGCAAAGAAGAGGGGGGTGGGTGGGTTACTGGTTCTCTTTGTTTGTAGCATGTGGGGGAATTCCAACCCCTCCCACCATCCAAGCAGCATGTAAAAAATTCCGATGCTCACACAGAGAGAGAGAGAGAGAGAGATGATGATGATGCATGCAGGTTTAGATTAACATTGCATATTCACTCCTGGCTTCAATATTACTTTGCTTTATCACAAATCCAAATTAACAATCTTTATACAGATGGGTTTCAGGACTTCATCTTTTACTTTTCTACCTTCTGCACAGAGGTGGATTTGAAGCTGTTCAGATGCAGATAGATAGTATTTTGCTATACTTAAATTCTACTTACACCATCTACGCAATCACTAACAGGCAAATGGAAAGTCTAATCCAATAGTTCCATCTGTGTATGATAGCAATTAGCATGCCAGTAGTTGGATAACTATCTTATGCTACCACTAGGTGCTGCAATTGGTGGAAAATCGGTTTGGGGACTATGTGAGCGACTTACAGCCATCATAATCACCATTAAGTTCCTCCAAGTCAAACTCACCAACTTGGTCCGTGGCATGGAGAAGAGGAGGCATCGATTCTCTCAGAAATGAATAGCTTTTCATCAGGAACCGGATCTATGCCAGAGAGGGAAATGAGCAAGGAAACAGTGTGAGGTTGAGTCATGTTGTGGATATTCTTGCAGAGGATATTCTTGCAGTATTTCTGCTATGCCACCTACCTGGCCTTTGGTACCATCCTTCAAAGAAAGGAATTACAGCCATTAGTTAAGCAGGATGGGGTGATCTAAGAGGTCTCCAATGCTCCCCATGGTGGATCCCATGGTGCTCCAGACACTGTCTGTCTAGACTTCTCAGACAGAAATGGCCCCTGCATATTTACTTGGCTACCTGTCAGCTATACTGCCTGCTGATTTTTCTTTTCAACCTCTTGCTTGTATGAAATCTTCTTGTCTTCCAGCTTGCAAGAAGAACATATAATTGAGGCAATGGCAAGTGCCACTGTAAGCATTTATATATGACATATACATGACGATGGCTGCTAAGATTTTAAAAAGCGTACTGTATATTTTGTTCAGGGCAATGTGTACTGAAGTATATGTCTTTAACCTGGCCTACCCTTAATGACTCTATTTGGGGTTTTTCCAGACCATTCAGAGGACACCAGATAGGAGAAAGCTGCCCTTAAACCTGGAGTGAGGTTGGCATGTCTTCTCTGTGCAATGGGAAATGAATGGCCTGTGTATGGAAGTATACTTTTATACTACAGAAGGCCTTCCTAGTGCTTGCTGCTATCTATATTTTCCATCTGAGATGTCCTGGAACAACCAGAATTCCTTCACAAATCCAACCTCACTTCAAAGCAGGGGTGGGATTCTACCGGTTCCCACCGGTTCTACAGAACTGGATGTTATGATTCTGCCCAGTTTGGAGAACTGGCAAATCATGCCCCTGCCTGGCCCCACCCCTTCCCCTCCCGGCCACTTGCCTCTGATGAGGCCGAAGATACGTTGCTGGAGCTGCCAGGCTTTAAGCCTGGAGCAAGAATCCCTTTCTCTCCTCCCCCCTCCTGTGCCTAACCCATTTGGAAGATATTGAGTTCTGCTGTTGCTGATGACGTCCTCCATGCTTCCTAAATGAAGTAGATCGAGTGGGAAGTGGCTGGTGTGTGTGCGTGTGAAATTAAGCCGCCTTCCTATAAAATCCATTCAGAAAACCAAGGAACAGATATGGTTTAATTCAGATTGCTGGGAGAGAAAGTAGTTTAAAAGTATTATTTAATTGACTAATTCATTGGCTTCCTGGCACTTCTTGTAGTACTGAGGAGCTGCTTCTCCAGCTGGATTTTAAAATAAAAACCAAGGAGCTCAGTGCTACAAGGAGAAGTTCCAGGAAGCCTTGCTGTAACTCAACCGGGCTTTAAAGCAGTTTAAAGTAGCCTGGAGCAAGTATCCCTTGGGGGTGCGGGGGAACTTTAATATCTTTAAAGCAGTGTCCTTGTGATGAAGGGGCAGTTTATATTACATTTTATAGATTAATTCACCAGTAGAAAATAGGTAACATTCATTTGAGGTCAATCTATGCATTTAGTTAGGAGGAGGAAGAGAAGAGGAGGAGGAGGAGGAGGAGGAAGAGGAAGAGCAGGCAATATTAAATCAGAGCCTTGGTACAAGGAGCAATCCAGTAGAAGTGCCTTGATGGTTCTGTCCAAGCAGAGATATGAGCGTGGTAAGTATGGGATATTATTAAATCAATTCATACAGAGATACAATGCGCAGTATCTTTAAAGTTGGTAATTCTTTCATGTTACTGACTTGGGAGTAATCAAATGATCAGGTCTCATGCTGCCTGGGGAATTCTGGGAATTGAAGTCTGCATGTCTTAAAGTTGCTAAGCTTGAAAAACACTCAGAAGTAAAACTTCTTGTGATCCTGGGTTATTTTCCTGCATTTGGGGAATAAGGAAATTATTCTATGTGCCTGGTGCAGATATTCAGCTGACATCTAGTTAGATGCTAATTGGAAGGTTAAAGCGTAGATACAGATAATCTTTGACTTACAACTATTTGTTTAGCCTCCATTTAAAGTTATAACAGCACTGAAAAAAGTGACTGATATTCTCCCCCCCCCACCGGACAGACAGAGAGAGAGGGAGACGGAGGGAGGGAAAGAGAGTGAGAGACAGAGAGAGGGAGGGAAAGAGAGAGACAAGAGACAGAAAGAAAGAAAGAAAGAAAGGGGGAAGAGAGAGACAACACACACACACACACAGAAATAGAGGGGGAAAGGGACAAGAGACACAAGGAGGGAAAGAGAGACAAGAGACACAGATAGAGAGAAAGAAAGAGAGGAAGGAAGGAAAAGAGAAACAAGACAGAGAGAGAGAACACACACACACACAGATGGAGGGAAGGAAAGAGAGAGAGAGAGACAGGAGATGAGAGAAAGAAAGAAAAAGGGAGAAAGAAAAAGAGATGAGAAAGAAGGAGAAAGAAAGAGAGACAGAGGGAGATACCTGTTTAAAAGAAAATAGAAAAATGACTCTGAGTGTTTAAGGTTGCAGACCCCAGGTTAGGCAAACACCATGGTCATTAAGTGAACTTTGTGGTCATTAAGCAAACACTGTGGTTATTAAACAAGTCCATTTTCCCCAATGGACATTTTTAACCGGAAACCAGAAGAAATTGTTGGAAACTGGCAAAAAAACAGAAAACCTCAGTCGCAAGACTGTGTGGGATGTTGTAACTGATCATAAGTGTGTGTGTGTGTGTGTGTGTGTGTGTGTGTGTGTGCATGGCTGTCATAACACCAAAAACTGGTCAAGTAGCTCTGGGGAGGTTAGTCATAAATTAGAACATTTGCTAAGCAACTGGCCATTAAGGATGGCTTATATTTGGTTTGCAAGTCACATGGCCAACTAACCAAGCCTACCCATCATATGGCCAACTAGCCACAACAAGCCAGTCACATGACCATCAAGCCACGCCCAGCTAGTTACATGACCCCCCCAGCCACACTCAGCCAGTCACATGACCATCAAGCCACAACCAGCTAGTTACATGACCCCTCCCAGCCACACTCAGCCAGTCATATGACCACCAAATGATGCCCAGTCAGCAAGCCACACCCACCCAGTCTCATGACCACAAAGCCACACCCACAAATTAGGCCACACCTACAGAACCGGTTGTTAAGAAATTTGAATCCCACCTCTGCTTCAAAATTCAACATTAGCAACTCCCATTTCTGTTTAAGAACTCTTTCCCCCTGTACCCACTTTCTTTGTGCCATACCTGCCATACCTGCTCAAAGTGCCATACCTGCTCATAGAGGACAATTTTTCGGGAGCCAATTCCCAAATTAGAGTAGACAACAATATAGATGGGGAAGAAGCCCAGCACTGCAGCGTGGCAGAGCAGCAGCACCACCACCAAGGTAACCGTCAAGAGATTGGGGAACCTAGTCATCTTCAAGCAGCCTGACCATATTTGCAGGGCCTGGTAGGGCACAAATAAGGTGTAGAGGAACATGCAGAGACAGGCAAAGAGTGCTGTGGGCAGCTGTCGAAAGCCAGCGATAAAGATCTCGAAATCCAAAACAAAACTGTGAAAGACAAAGAAGAAAAAGAGCTCTAAGGATTCTGCCCAAAAGATAAGGATGTTTCAAATTAAGCACTTTCTCTTGGGCATCCCCAATATTCAGTGGCATAACTGCTAAAGGGGGTGGTTTCTGCTATTTTGAGAAGGTAAACTCATGAAGATTCCCGTGAACTCTTCAAAATAGATCAGTTAGAATGAAGGAAAACCTACCTCCAATGAAAACATTAGAATCAGTCGCCCTCATTTTGTTCATAATCTTGTTTTGTTTCATAATTTTGATTTCATAACCTTCATAATTTCAACTATTGCTCATCCTTAAATATTGGACCCTCAAAAAGGTTCCTAGCAGAATTTAAATGCATCAGAAATAGAAGTCTGTGAGGTTTTTGAGGGGTCTGTCATATTAAGAACATTACTCAACATTCCTCTCAGAATAATGTCTAATTCTTTTTTGGTACATCCCTCTGAGCTTTCTATTTATCTGGTCTACAGCTCATGTGGAACTTAGGTCATTGTATAGAAGTTTATTTATTCCATGTAAATCTTCCCTTTTGAAAATTCACAATGAAACACCTGGACGAAATTTCCTCCTGATCTTGAAAGTGAAAGCTGAGAGATTGATCAACTAGCCCAAAGCGACCCAATTGGCTCCCTGTGAATGTGAAATTTGCTCTCTCTCTTCTACTGGACTCCCTCCTTGAGGGGCTTCATGCTTGTTGGAATACATGATAGAATGTATTTTGTATTACAGCAAATACAGAGAATTAATTAGCCAGTAGATGGCAGCGTTTAGTTAGCATCTATGGTTATAATCTACGGTTCCTTTATGTTCTAAGGAAAATTTCCTGCAACAGTTATGACAGTTGAAACCATTAAGCAGCAAGGCCCATAGTGACTATACGCTGTACACTTTATTTGATCTATATGGCTACATAACCAACCTCTGTATCAATTTGTGTGGCTACACAATCATCCTCTGCTATCATTTCTATAGAATAGAATAGACTTTCTAGCAATACTTCAGCTTCAACAGAATTGCAGATTATTCAAGGGTTTGACTATCATGGACATTTCCTTCTTCCTTTCCTTTCAGGAATTATTTTATTTGTACAGGTGAAACTCGAAAAATTAGAATATCATGCAAAAGTTCCTTTATTTCAGTAATGCAACTTAAAAGGTGAACCTAATATATAAGATAGATTCATTACATGCAAAGCAAGTAATAGTTCAAGCCATGATTTGTCATAATTGTGATGATTATGGCTTACAGCTCATTAAAACCCCATATCCACAATCTCAGAAAATTAGAATATTACATGCAATCAATAAAACAAGGATTGTACATAGAACAATATTGGACCTCTGAAAAGTATAAGCATGCATATGTACTCTGTACTTGGTTTGGGCCCCTTTTGCAGCAATTACTGCCTCAATGCGGTGTGGCATGGAAGCTATCAGCCTGTGGCACTGCTGAAATAATATGGAAGACCAGGATGCTTCAATAGCGGCCTTCAGCTCTTCTGCATTGTTCGGTCTCATGTCTCTCATCTTTCTCTTGGCAATGCCCCATAGATTCTCTATGGGGTTCAGGTCAGGCGAGTTTGCTGGCCAATCAAGCACAGTAATCCCACCGTCATTGAACCAGGTTTTGGTGCTTTTGGCAGTGTGGGCAGGTGCCAAGTCCTGCTGGAAAATGAAGTCAGCATCCCCATAAAGCTCATCTGTGGAAGGAAGCATGAAGTGCTCCAAAATCTCCCAGTAGACCGCTGCGTTGACCCTGGACTTAATGAAGCACAGTGGACCAACAGCAGCAGATGACATGGCTCCCCAAATCAACACAGACTGTGGAAACTTCACAGTGGACTTCAAGCATCTTGCAGTGTGTGCCTCTCCATTCTTCCTCCAGACTCTGGGTCCTTGGTTTCCAAATGAGATGTAAAAGTTGCTCTCATTAGAAAAAAGGACTTTGGACCACTGAGCAACAGACCAGTTCTGTTTTTCTTTAGCTCAGGTAAGATGCTTCTGATGTTGTTTGTTGTTCAGGAGTGGCTTGACAAGAAGAATACGACATTTGAAGCCCATGTCCAGGATCCGTCTGTGTGTGGTGGCTCTTGATGCACTGACTCCAGCCTCAGTCTACTTCTTGTGAAAGTCCGCAACACTTTTGAATGGCCTTTTCCTGACAATCCTCTCCAGGCTGCGGTCATCTCTGCTGCTTGTGCACCTTTTTCTTCCACACTTTTCCCTTCCACAGCACTTTGGGAACATCCAACTTCTTTTGCAATTACCTGTTGAGGCTTTCCCTCCTTATGGAGGGTGTCAAATGATGGTTTTCTGCACAACTATCAGGTCAGCAGTCTTTCCCATGATTGTGATTCCTACTGAATCATAATGAGAGACCGTTTAAAGGCTCAGAAACCTTTTGCAGATGTTATGGCTTAATTAGCTGATTAGAGTGGGACACTTTGAGCCTAGAATATTGAATCTTTTCACAATATTCTAATTTTCTGAGATTGTGGAATTGGGGTTTTCATGAGCTGTAAGCCATAATCATCTCAATTATGACACATCACAGCTTGAACTATCTTGCTTTGCATGTAATGAGTCTATCTAATATATTAGGTTCACCTTTTAAGTTGCATTACTGAAAAAAATGAACTTTTGCACAATATTCTAATTTTTTGAGTTTCACCTGTAAGGCTTCCCAATTAAAAAATAGCTCATGGCAGCATACAACATTAAAAACAGATAAGCACTACAATGACCAGAATGGGCAAAAGGCTGGAATAATGGCAGAACCAGATTTTTCATAGACACATGGAAACTGGCTCAAAACTGGCTTCATGTTTTCCCATGAACAAAGGCAAATATACGTATCCCAGGATAATGTTGGAGGATTCAATCAGAGTCAATCGCCAGGACAAGAGATTTAATCTTCCAAGTTTCACAATTGTGTAGGAACCCCTCCTCAGGGAACTTCTCTCTAACCAGAATGTTTTTTTGTTTGTTTTTCAAGTCTTTCAAGGTGTGTCACTCCATTGGACTGAGCATATTGTTTGGTTTCTGTGCGATCAGCATTGCCAATACTTTTTGCCCGATGGCATGTTTTTCTGGCTCTTGTATCTCAGATCTGTTGACTATAGAGTCTACTGCTGCTATATAAATTCTCTTAGGGTGGTGTCACTCTCACGTTCTGTTGAGAGAGAAGTTCCCTGAAGATGGGCTCCAGCACGAGTCCGAAAACTCGGAAGACTAAACCTCTGGTCATGGTGACCGACCCTGACTGGATCCTTATATTTTCCTTTCTTATGGCTACTGGATCTGGATTGCAAAAATCCATCTGAGATATAGGTGGCACAGAAAAATATTTGTATACCTCTCTGCCAACATCACACGGTTGTTTGGATTTTTGCATATCCCACCTGCTCTGAAAGGATTAGTGTCCTTCTTTTACTGTTCCTATTTTTTTATATTTTTCCGTTCCTGTGTTAATAGTAAATTTAGCCTGATTTTCTTTGAAGTCAATTGGTCAATTTATTTATTTATTTATAGGTTTTGACCACTGTTCAGGTGGAATGGAATACAGTACAAATACAAACCATGTCAACAAATGGCAGGTGCATACTATGAGACACAACACTTATGTTCAGCCATGAATACATGTCCAAAAGATAACAAGATTCATTCAGAAGGAGGGTAGAAGAAGTGAACTGCATTAGTAGGCTGTTAGCATAGAGAAGAGTGTTTGATGCCTAACAAAGGTGGCACCAAAGGAGGCATTCCTCACTTAGGCTTAGTCTCTAGGTGGGCATAGGAGGGTCCCAAGTGTTATGGCTCAACAGGAGCCCCAAAACAAGAAGAATAAATTGCAATTTTTTTAGCCACTAGATGAACAGTGACAAGTGGGAGGAGATGCAGCAGGATCAGGCTCCCTGCAGAGGCTCAAAACCTTGGAAGGGACCCAAGAATGTTAAACTTTGGATGGAAACTAAGTTCAAAGATTAGGTAAATATGCTCTTAGGATTGTTACTGTGTCCCTTAACACAAAACAAATAGCATCGTATCCCCAGAATTAGCATACATCAGTGGGAAGACCTTCCACCCTGCCCCCTCTTCTGAATCATACCGTCCTTCCTCGATGGAATCCACAATGATTTGTTTGAGGACAAAGATACAGAGCACGGCCACAAAAATGTGATGGATTGTGCGGAAATGTTCCACCTCCAGTAACGTGCTGTAAAAGAGAGACAAGTTGCCAGCAAGTAAGTAATAGATGTTGGGCGAGATGGGCAGCTGGACATCACTGGACAAGATTTGGGTCCCAAAGATTTTCATCTGGTCTTCTGTGCAAAAACTTGTAGTTTCACTTGTACAAAAGAAATAACATTCAAGTGGCTGGTGGGAAAATGTTCCATCTCTTATGATATACAGGTAGTCCTCAACATAGGACCGCAATTGAGCCCTTGGGCCCAGCAGTTAACTTACTCCTGCTGAGACTAAACACAGCCTTATTCTAATATGCTAGTAATAAGTTTGTGCTAGCCACCTAATCAACCTAATCCTTTCAAAAATACTTCCTTTTGTTTCCCATCTGTAGTATCTATTCCTTTTCCGGCACCCACCAAAGAGTCTCATCATTGGCTATAGAGAATGCTCAGTCCTTATCGGGCTGTTTCCAACTCTTGTTCTTCATCAACAGTGGAATATCAATTATTTTGTCCAAGGCCACCTTTGGAACCGGAGGCCTTAGAGATCCTTGCATATTGTCCCTCTGACTCTTAAGTTTTGTTCATATTATGACCAGACATACTTACTCAAACAAGGACCGTTGAGGGACAAAGATTTTCTTCTTCAGTAGCTGACCCTTCTCTCTGCATGATAAGATTACAAAGCAGGTAATATTTAATAGATCTCTCAAAATTCTTCTCACCTCTGAGAAGGGGGTAAAGGTAAAAGAGTCCCTGAGGATTTTACTCCATAGTCATTGATGACTATCAGAGGGGGTGCTCATCGCTGTTTCAAGGCCATTGAGCCAGCACTGTGATGACTATTTTCCCCATCCCTGATCTAAAATCAATTGCAAGGAACCTCTTCCACCTGCTTTGCTTCTTTGCTGGGACCACGCTCAGTTGCTGGGGTCTGGAATGAGCTGCTTCTTCCAAGGTCTTGTCTAAGAGATCACTCAGCTGATTGTGTACCTGGTCTAGTACCTTCACCTTCAATACCTACCAACAAAACAAAGGGAATTTAATGATGTCCAGGCCTGTCACTAATAGATTCCTAGAATGCATTTAGGTGATGGATACTTTCAAGGAATTGCACGGATGATGTCCAAATGGAGTCAGAGATGCTGACACAAACTTACAGTTTCATATAAATAAATATATTTACAGTAGGAACATTATGAGGTACATTGCAGATAGCACACAGAGCCCACAGAGGAAAAAGGTGGGATACAAGGAAACTCCCCCTTTACTCTCACAGCAACTAATCACAATTTAGATTCCCTCATGCAATGGCTAGCTCTCCTCAACCAATTAGCTATCACTATGTGTTCTTATTCATTGTCCAGTTGCTTTGCTTCCTTGATCTGTGCCAGAAACTTCCTTGCTCAGAAAGCCTAGTAAACCTCTAGGACATAATACTCTATGATAAAGACCATTTGACTGTGGAGCCATAGACTTGACCATTTTCATAATTCTTGATAATTCATCATTTAGAGAGAATATTTGTTTCTCTAGTACTAACTCCTTCCTGCTTTATTAGTACCTATTATCTATTATTACCTCCAGGTGTCTCTTCCATTGGATGTGGGCAGTTATTTTCTCCAGGTTTTCAGCTTCTCCTAGAGAGTTAGAAACAGCTTCACTTTAAAAGTATGATTTGACATTGGGTGAGTTTATTGCTTGGATTAGACAGAAATCTTCTCATTGTACAGAGTTTTTTGTTCTAAATTACTACTTCAAATTTCAAGCATTCGTTTCTCCACTCTTCACATTCTCTTTCCTTTGGGGTGGATAAAGCAGGTCCAAAACTATTTCTATCAGGCTTCTGAAGTATTTTATATGGTATGTTTTTATTCAGTTTTGTAGCCTTTTTTAAAAAGCAGATTTCCACACTATAGTAACCGCTTTTAACCAGCAGATCTGGAAGTCTGTGTTTATCGTACAATTCTATTTTGCTTAATTATTAAGTAAAACAGCATAAAACATTACCATATCATTCTAGGCTTTTTGCTGTGGCTCCCAAAATGCTAATCTCTGCATAGTACTACCTAATTCCAAGACCTAATTGAAAATCCTCAGACAATTTATCCACAGCAAGGCTATCCCCCACCCAATTGTGCAACAAAATATATCATCCATGCCCCTTAAATGCCTCCTTACCATTGAGTATTTGTGTTTCCTCTTCTCCCCTGGCCTGCTCCTGGGATCTTCTTTGCCTCATGCCTCCAGTGCTCATTTCCATTGGGTCCATGATGGTTCTGAAAGTAGAGTTTCTTAGGTTAATTTCACACTCTAGCCCAGCAGTCAGATAACTAATTTACCAGGGGAGGAAATAAAGCCTCTGCAGTTGGAACTTTGCAGTTCCTTAATGCACCAATGAGGTAACTGACCTTTCTACCCTGATTAGCAAGTTATACATTTCCAGCTGCACAGAAAAAAGTTGTAATGAAGCCAGATTTTCAAGATCTTCCATTATTCGCATCATTTTATTTTCTGAATCAAATTAGCAAATATATATTTGTTACAGCTGAAACAATTCCATCTGAGAGTCAGTGAAAAGGAGCTATTTATTTCCCAGGCCCTACAATTTGAGGATATATCAAGGATAGATTTTCTTGGCTGAAGTCAGTTGTTTAGTCACAAGGTCAGAAAGTTCTCTAGTAATAATATTGGGGAGAGAGGCAGGGGTGGGCTGCTGGGGGTTCGCAGGGGTTCAGGAGAGCAGCTAGCTAGATTCTGTGCAGTTCAGAGAACCCCCAAATCCCACTCCTGGCTGGCCCCACCCACCCTACCCCTCCCAGGAGTCCCCACATGGCCCATTTTGGATGCAGGTACGTGCAGGATGCATGTGAAGTCTTGGGGAGGGTGAAAAACAGACTCCCTGGAAGTTCAGAAAGGCTGGAAATGGCCCTGTTTCCAGCTTCCAGAGAGCCTCCAGAGGCTCGAGGAAAGTTTCTGGAGCCCGGGGAGGGCAAAAGCGCCCTCCCTCACCATGATGCAGGAAGCTGACTAGGCCACATCCACCCAGTAACCGGGCAGAGAACCCTTTGTTAAAATTTTGAAGCCCACCCCTGAAAAGAGGTATCTATATACTTCTATATAACTTCTCCCCGCTTTTCACTCTTCTTAATTCTATTTTATTTATTTCATCTTACTTTAAATCATTATACTTGTATCTTTTGTCCATTCTTTTCCAATTATCCATTTATCTCATTTTCTTTAATAAAAATAAGGTTTCTCCTGGAATCACTAATTGAAGTATGATGCCTTTCTATCGTTCCCCTAAGTTAACATTTAAAATAACACCTAGTTCCCAATCTGATTCTGCTTAGTACATTCTACCTACTAAATTTTAAGAAAAAAAGAAAATAGTAAATCTATAAAGTAATTAAATACATAATTACCATTCTAATTTTTTTAATACATTTTAAATACTACATTTTAAACTAAAAAAGTAAGAAAAAAAAGATTATAATAACATTAAAACAATAACAAATTAAGCTCTATCATTAAGTCTTAAGCATTTACACATTCTCAATAATATTAAATGTTAAAATCTATCACTAAATCTTAAACATTTTAATATTTTAATTTATTAAATCTTGTAATATTCCAATAATCTATTTCAAAGGCAAATGCTACAATAATAAGTTTATAATAACACTAACACAATAGCCAATTAAACTCTATAATTGAACTAAATATTTTAAACATTCCCTTTAATATTTTATTAAATCTTGAAATCTATCATTATTAAGCGTTTTAATATTTTAATATTTTATTAGATCTTATAAAATTCTAATTTTCTATTTCTAGTACAAGTACTACAATACTATCTTGTGTACTTTTGCAGAATCCTTTTTTTTAATAAATTATACGTTACCCTTTATCCCTAAAATTTTTTTGCTTTTTCCCATCTTGTTTCATACCTTTGTGGCTTTTTTCCCCCTTTTCCCTTCCTTTCTTATCCCACCTGGCCCTTTTACCTCCCCCTAACCTCCGCCTTTTTAGCTTCCCCTCTCTGTTGTATTCCTCTTTTCTTTTGCTTTCTGACATTGTATTGATTTTGCATCTTATTTTTCTCTTTCTTGGGTGTTTTTTTAGGTCTTAAGTCCTTCATTTTCCTTCCTCTCTTTCTCTTTTCCTTCTTAATCAAACTTTTTGATTCATTAAAGATGGCTTCTTCTTCTTCTTCTTCTTCTTCTTCTTCTTCTTCTTCTTCTTCT